TGTGGTCTCTTATTCACCTTTCATATTGTTAATATTCATGAGGAACGCATTGATGAGTCTACCCTGCTTGTCATTTGCACAGGGAACATGAAGGTTTTAGATGGCATGACATATGTATCCGCATCATAAATAAGGTAATTGTATTTTTCTTGAGCAGTTTTTCATGACATGAATGTTATCTCGAAAGCATCTTGACATTGGCCATGCAAGATGTTTATTTCTTTGAAATTTTCAGGATTTAAATCCAGTAATCATATTGTACAGTTTGTTCCATTGACATACTTTTTGTTATTCAGTAACAAAATCATAAAAAAATCACCTTTTCTATCTACTTTCATGTTATATTTGAAGACAAGGGTGCTAATGGCTTGTAATTTTTCAGCCTCATTGATGCAACTTTGTGACCAACTACTGTTAGTTAAGGTGATCTTGACCCTGGGAGACATTGTATTGGTATTGCACAATGTTTTAGAATTGCTACACGAAGTGGAGTTACAGTACATCGGGCTTTCCATATATGCACATTTACACAGAAATCAGAAATTAAACTTAGAATGTATGAAGTGTAATTATAAAATGTAATTAATCTCTGTATTCAAGTAGAATACATTTGGGTTATTTGTTTATTCACAGATTCTGTCAAGATGACCCAAACACATATCCAGTTATGATGTAGCCATTTCTAAGAACAGATTTTATTATAAATTATCGTTATTATTATTATTTTTTTTTATGTAATGCTGTAAATATGTATATCTATATCTTATATCTCAGAGGACAAGTGCATTTTGCAGGCTTGCCAAAGGAGCTGTGAAACTTTGCCAAATTGTAGTTTCTTAGTGGGAAGCATAGCATATAAAAAGTGATATTTGGATAAAACAGGGTATGATCCATTTTTGTATAAATGCCATATTGATTTTTGCAGTTGTAAGAAAACTGGATTTTACTGTAATTTTTGTAAATTGTACAGAAGATTCCTCAGTTTGTAAGATACAGAAAAATTAGAAATCACTTTGGAACATTGGAGTGATGATGAGTTAATATAGAGAAGTAGGATGTGCTTGAATGTAGTAATAAGCATTTTCTTTTCCTTTTTGGATTGCCAATTGTTTTGGAAATGAGCACAGATTTCTCATGTTAATAGCGCATGCTATGACTGTGCTAGTTAGATTATTTTAATGAAATTGTTTTCAAAAATTGTAAAAAATTTATAATTATTTCCAGTGAGGTTTTTAATAAGATCTAGGAGAGAGTGTCCATGGTATAGTGCTTAGGAGATATTTAAATAGTTACTATAGGTATGATTAATTCAGAAAGTTAATCCTGCCATCTACATCTCCTGTCAAGTGTTCATCCAGATCTTCTATAATCTTCCTCTTTTACAGTAGTTTCCTGTCAGTCATCATGCTGTAAAAGTCAATGGTAATAGTTGTTCCAGTCCTTTTTTGGCACTAGATCTTTAAGGCCTGTCTTGCTTAACATCATTTGAATGCTGGCCTTCAGTTTTCAGTGTATAAGAAGAAACATGTTATATTGCAAAGAAATAAGTATATGTGTGGTTCCATTATCATATCTAGCCTCAAGTGTTATCTTTGTCCTGTAGAGAAAAGAATGTAGAAAGATTAATGTTATTAAACAGACATTATTTACAAGCACTTATATATATCTGTAGCAGTTCCAGTAAGCCTGCAAGTACAGGAAGAGTAATATATCAGATATTGATTTAGTTTTTTCATTTTATTACTTTTAAATGTTATTGTTACTGTTAACTGTTGCAGTATTGCAGTTATTTTCAATGAGTCATTTAAAATTCGTCGTGATTAGAAGTTTTGTGTTTCTAACACCTTATAAGTATTTTTTTGACATTAAGTCTTCTTGAAACATTGCTGGCCTTAACTCAACTCTAAACAAACAACACAGGATACAAAATGTGAGAAAAAAGAAGAGCAAGTTAAGCCTAATTATTTATGTAAATGTGCATATATGAACATGATTCCTGTATTAAACTTTTTTCATTTTACTATATTATTTTTGCTCATTAATTGCATAGTGATTAAGCTTTGGTAGGGATTCCTCAATGTCAATGACCACCTTGATTAATGGTATCTTTTATGAAGATTGAACATGTATATTGTTACTGCAAAGTGAATGTTATCAGGATTTGGATATCTATTTTTTGTCATATAAGTTGTCTAATTGTGGTTATATATGAGATTATTTATTTGCATATCAAGCTGTGCCCACAGGGTGAGTGTGTTCATGGTTCTTTGGCAATATGGATATATATTGACCATTAAAAAAGGTGGCTCACATGAAATACATATATATATTTTCTTACTGTACTCTGCTGCCTCAAGTATGATAGTATATCTGTGAAGGCCTGTTGGTAGATTAGATACATAATGTAATCTACAAATTCAGTAGTGAGTCTAAAAAATGGATCATTAATACTTTTAAGCAATAGGTATGTTCTCTGTGTATTACTATTCTTCTCCACATGCTTAAATCTTTTCATAGAATGTATATTGATTGCCCAAAGAAAACTTTCATATCTATAAGAATCTGCTGTTCATTTATCTTATATTAAGGAAGGATTGTAATTATTGCTGCACATTTTTTGCCTGTATAGCAGTAGCAAAATGTTGGAAAGTTTTTTTTTTCTGGTATAGGTGTAAGGTTGGCCTTATGCTTGGGTAAGCTGGTGTCCAATATTTTTCATATATTAGTAACACCTGATCTGATTTTGATGAATATTTGTATAAACACAAGATGCCTAGAAGGCAGAAGAAACATGAATTAGGTTTAGCTCCTGATATATCAGTGTAACCCTGTAACCGGTGGAGAATACAGTTATCAGTGCTTCTTCACAATGCAGATATCAGTAATGTTTTGCACATGATATTGAAAGCCCAACTACCGTAAAGTTGTGCTCTGCGGTACTATATGTTCTTGGTGATTATCTCTCATTTGTTAACAGTTGTGTGTAGATTAGTTTTGATATCACAGGTAAACTGTATTTTAAAATACAGCTCTCTTCCATTTGAGAAACTTGGTAAATATTTTTAATAGAGGAATGTGCAACTCATTTTTGTACAAAATATTTATTTTCAATTGTATAGCACGGATTTCTGTCTTGTATATAACTACTTGCTTTGAACAAGTAACATTTGTACAAATACTTTATGTTAGGATGATCAGTTGAGAACATGATAATAGTTTTTAGTTAGTGGTATATCATTTATCATTAAATATGTGAATTTATAAATAGTTTATAAGGAATTGGGAGGATAGTATTGAGACTGAATCTTTATGAAGAGAAAAGAGTCTCTGGCATAGCTACCCTTATGGTTCATCAAGAAGCAAAATAACTCATCAGCCTGAAGTAAACATTACATGTTTTCAGAATATTTTGTTAGAATTTACGTATTATTCATGATTGCTTTTCAGGTTCATACTTTTTTTTGGTTCCACTATAATTTTCTGACTCTTTCACTCACTCTCTCTCTCTCTCACTCTCTCTCTCTCTCTCTCTCTCTCTCTCTCTCTCTCTCTCTCTCTCTCTCTCTCTCTCTCTCTCTCTCTCTCTCTCTCTCTCTCTCTCTCTCTCTCTCACTCTCACTCTCACTCTCACTCTCTCTCTCTCTCTCTCTCTCTCTCTCTCTCTCTCTCTCTCTCTCTCTCTCTCTCTCTCTCTCTCTCTCTCACTCTCACTCTCACTCTCACTCTCACTCTCACTCTCTCTCTCACACTCACTCTCTCTCACTCTCACTCTCTCTCACTCTCTCTCTCTCTCTCACTCACTCACTCACTCACTCACTCACTCACTCACTCACTCACTCACTCACTCTCTCTCTCTCTCTCTCTCTCTCTCTCTCTCTCTCTCTCTCTCTCTCTCTCTCTCTCTCTCTCTCACTCACTCACTCACTCTCTCTCTCTCTCTCTCTCTCTCTCTCTCTCTCTCTCTCTCTCTCTCTCTCTCTCTCTGTCTCTCTCACTCTCTCTCTCTTTTTCTTTTGTTACTTTGTCCCAAAAGATATGTATTTTTATGATAGCTTTATGAACTGTGATTACACTGTATCTTCATTATTGAATGCCACAGAGCTGTTTTATGTTGATACCCATAACTGTGGATTAATTTACTGTATATTGAAGTAGTGCAGCAAATTCTTCAGACTATTACATGATCTGTTAAATGATGGAAATTGATGTTTGTATTGAACTTGTACAAGCTGATGGAACCTGATGATCATTTTTAGATGCTGCACATTTTGCATATACGTTTTTTTTTTCATCATACATATTTCACTTTGGTATTGCCATAAGAAAAATGCAACCACAAAGTGCTTTTATTTTTGCTCAGATGTTTTATTTGAGCTTTAGGAGGCCTCTAAATGAAAATATGGTTTATTCTCATGTGCATGATAATGTGTTTTTATTAGTAGTAGCAGTAGCAGCAACAGCACTAGTACTAGTTCTAGTTGAAGTTCTAGTAACAGTAGTGGTAATAGTAGTCATAATTGTATAGTAATAATAGTAGTAGTTATTACAGTATAGTATTAGTAGTAATAGTAGTAGTAGTAGTAGAAGTAGTAATAGTAATAACAGTACTGGTAGCAGTAGTAGCAGTGATAGTAAATATTTTCATAATTACATAGAAAGTGAAGGTAATTTTATGGACAAAAAAGAACCTTTAGGAGCATGAACTGTATTTATGTTGACAAATGTAGAAAAGGTGTGAATGAGAATGAATATCTGCTACTATTACTTCTATGGCTTCTTCTGGTCTGACTACCAATACTGCTGCTGCATTAACTATCTACAGCTACTACTGCTACTACTCAATTACTTCTGTCACCACAATCATTGATCTTACTTCTGCCACTTCTGTTGATACCACCACAACCACCTCTACCACTATCATTACTTCTATTACTGCCTCTACCACCACTGCTTCCAATGCTTCAACAGCATCTACTATTATTGTTAATACTATTTCTGTT